AAAAAAAAAATAAAACAATACAAAATGAGCAATTTATTGTATTAATCTTACGCTAGTTATCAAATATACAAAAATATTAAAAAAGCTATTCTTCTTAATCTTCTGCTTGAAGTTTTTGTATACGTTCATAACCAAGTTTTATTAGAAACTGGAAATTTTTATTATCTTGCATCTGTTCCATTTCTTCGCAGTCCATCAAAGTGTCTAAAGGAGGTAATAGGTTTTGAGGGTCTTCGCCTAAAAATGATTTACAATTGATAAGTAATATACAAAAGTATCTCAAAATACTATAATATTTGCATTTTGGCCTCAGCAATCTTTTGATATAATAGACACTAATAATTTGCACATACACTAGGCTAGACTTAATAGTGGAAACTGAGAACGTCAGTTGTTCACATTACAGTTTGTGCATGTTAGCGAGTTGTGATTTATATGTAATAAATATTTGCAATTAACAAAATAAACATACATACAAATATAAAGTATTAATATCTATCCATTAAAAGAAAGAGCAAAAACGTAAAACACTATTGAAATATTATTTTGCCAAAAAAATAAAAAATGTTTATTTGTTTCTGAAGATTTTCATTTTGCATAATAATCTTTTCTCTTAGTCTTAGATGCAGCATCAGACACACAACAAATTTTCATTTAAAAATGAACAAAAGCTTACCAAGAACTATTGCTAATTCTGCCAATCTGTAGAACAAAGTGTTTCTTAGAAACTCCATAGGAGATTCTAGAGACCCATCGAACCATGTATCTCTGAGTACAACCCTCCTCCATACCATTAGCCACAACTCATTCCTTTCATCATCATCCAAGATATATACTAAGATATCCAAGGCTTTCTTAAACTCTACCTCTGAGGCTTCTTTATACTCTGAACAAGTGAAGAGGTACACTAGGTCCTTGGGAGGTATTACACGTGGCTTTAAGGTGTCATAACCGAACTGTTGGAGCACATAATCGGGAATTTCTTCTTGGAAAGCTACCAATTCCAATCGAGTATTTACTTCTTCGAGATAAGCTGTTGTTCCTGAGTTTTCGGGGGCCGCCAATCGAGATAGTTTTCCCAAACTTAGCATAGTCTTTTGACGCATTATGGATTCGGTTTCTTGAACGGCTAAATTTCTATAAAACGCAATAATTTATTATTAAATCATATTTGCCCATAATAAAGAACAATATTTCCTTACTTTAGTGCTTCAGAGGCTCGTGTAAATTTTTGATCAAAAATATGCTGCAACCAAGAGAGTGAAGGATGTTCACATAACAAACTAGTTAACTGTTGAGAAACTTTTGTTTTCGACAACGTTTTGCACCGATTGATCAACTTGCCCTGTTTATTTTGTTGTAAGTACCAATTATAAAGATATTCTGGGAACTTTTCAGCTCCAAATCTCTCCATATATTCGTCCAGACGTTGCTGATTATCAGTAGCTTCACATACCTCGACTAAAGTCTCGAAATCGGAATATTTTTCAGCCAGAAGAAGTGCCCTTTCCCACTGTTTGTCCTCAACTAGAGAAAAAAAATTATTCTGATTTACAATTAATTTAAAATAACACGAGTTATACCTAGCGGCTTTATAAGTTTATGTCGGTCACTGTGATATTGTTTTACTGCTGAATCTGCCTCCTCGTCGTTAATACTCTCTATGTACGCTTTTTGGCCGTCCAAGATCACATCAACTAACTCTACAAATTGATCATAGAGAATGTTCTTCAAATTGATGTCTGACGAGGCTTTTGCTCCATAATTTAGTGTTAATAGTTGCTATAAATAGAAAAAGAAAGTGAAATAACATTATTAGGGATGGGGTTACAATAATTTTCCCGTTACCTGCAGCATTAAGCTGTCGTAGAGGCCATTACGCCCAGGAGCAGCTAACCAAGGAAGATATTCGCAACCCAGGGAGCGAGTGTCGAACGATGGAAGAAAATTATTTATATTTTGCCTTCGATTTTCTAAAAGCTCACGAAGAACATTCTGAAAACAAAAAATATTTAAATCACATTAAATTAAAAAACCAGTAAATTACCAACAACAAATCGTTAGTTTCGCAGATTAGTACAGCAACTTCTCCAGGATCAAGATCAGAATGTGCAGCATCTTCGCAGCGATTCACCAACTCTTGCAAACCTCTGTGTATCTTATTAACTTCCCTGTAGAAAACGTCTTGATTGGTAAGTCCGTCCAAGTGTTCCACATTTGGTCCTCCCACAGCTTTTTCGATGGCATAATCCAATATAGGACCTGCTTCAGAACTCTTCAACGCTATTGCAACAGTTAATTTTTCAGCCAATTCTCCTGCAAAAAAAAATAAAAGAATTAAATATAAGCAAGCCTGTGTCCGTTTATTATTTGTAAATAAAAAAAGAAGCCGAAATTACTTTGTAAGTTTCAGTTTTAATATAATCTTAAGCAGCCAGTCCTACAAAACTATGTAATTTGGATTTTTTAATTAAATAAAATTGTATATTGCTCACCAAGAACATGAGTGGTGGCCATAATTGTATCTCTTTTTTTAACAGCTGCCAATTTATTCCAAAGATTAGTTTCCCTGAGAAATTTAATAAATAACCCGTAAGCTTTCTGTTTATCTTCCAGTTGATTAAGAATTTGCATAGAGTAGGAGCTGCCAAGACCTGCCTGATTCTCTCCACTCCAGCGGGGATCCCCTGCGGGAATATCGTCCAAAAGGTCTTCACAAACTGTTATAACACAGTTATCTAAAGTCGAATCCACTCCTGGAATAGAAGTTCCTTCAGAAAAGAAAAGTTTTTGAAGAATATCTTGACAAGCCATCTAAAATGAGTTATAAATTACATAAGAAAATAACATACATAGGGAAAGCTTACATGCTGATTTTTTACGTGAAAAATAAAAGCTGCTTTAAGTTGGCATACAATGTCTTTATAGGAATTGTACATTTCTTCAGGATCAAAACTGTAAAGAGTCAAATTGCCTACTAAAGTTTCATTTAGTGATGTATCCAAAAAAGTATTCGATTGGAATATGTTACCACTGCTCATATCTAAGTTAATCTCATTACTGGTTATGGCTATCAGACCATGATTTCGTGAGAAAAAGACAGGAGTGTTAATACAAACAGATCCTCCTAATAAAAAGTCCTGTCCATTAAATTCTAAGGTATCAGGTTCCTCTTGGGGTTTTATAACAGTAATGCACCTTTGGTTGTAAATGTATGCGCAAGAACTACACTTTAAAAATCGGTAGGACAAGGAATCCTGAGGATTATCTTCTCTGTAGAGTCCTTTCATTTTCAAAATATAAAAGTCTCGAACATGATTGGGGGCCTCAGGACCATTAGTTTCCAATGAAACCAAAGCATAATGCACTTGGGGTGAAATATGCATATTTACTGCCGCAGCAAGAATAATAATACCGTCTTTGTCAGGTTGTATGTCCAAAAGCCAGGTATCTGTCTCACTCTGATCACCCCCGCAATTTTCCCAGATGGAATTATGAAAATTATCGGCAATAAGACGATTTAATTCGATAATAAAAATTAACTGTTCTTGTTCATTGGACATAAGTTCCCATTTTTGCAAAGAATGGCCTGCCAGGACATAAACTTTCCATATTTCCTCTGATTCTGGTACTGTCAATACTCTGACCAATCTCTTCAAATATAAAGTAAATTTAATATGTACCCATCTGAAAGGATGTATTAATTTAAAAACTCACTGCTTCAGCTGAATGTTCCATTGACATTGATCCAAAAATAAATGATGTCATTCTTCTGCTAATACCATCAAACCATCCACTAGGAGATTTTAACATTTTACAGTGTAAAGAATGTCTTCCTCCTATTTTCTGAGGTTGTACGTGAACAACTGTACAAGTAGTTGTGGCCAAAATGCACCCCATATTTCCAATAACTGTAAGACTGTCACATTCCTGCCCTTGAAGATCTACATTCTGTTCCACTGACACTCCTTCATGGGTAATTGCTGGCCAATACCTCACAACTCCTCCAGGTGATACTGCTATACAAGCTGGCATACCTAAACCACTTGGTAGATAAACTGATACTAATTCGGCCCTGTGGGCCAAATCACTCTGAGGTAATTGCAATTCAAAACAGTTGCTACTGGGTGTTTTCTTCTGAGGAGTTCCATACTGTATATTGCTTTGTTTATACTGCCAGACCAACAGTCTTCGTCCACATACGATCCATGCATATCCACACTCGGATATACGAGCAGTAACAGTTGCATTTCCTATAAGTATGAAAGCCTTTAAGAAATTAAGATGATCATAAATAGCTATCTCTTACGGTCGGCAAAAGTTAGAGCTTCGGTGATAAGAACAGGCAATGGTTGACCAAATCGTTCCAGAGAATTATAAGGTGTTTTTAGTATAATTTGTATTGATTGTACTGATTTACCTGATACGCTAAGACGACTAAAAGAATGACACCAATAATTGTAACAATAATATTTTAAAGTTGTAATGCTTACGAGGACTTCTTGAATGATGACTGAAGTGTGGACTTTTTCAAACTGATATTTGGCCTTCCTTTAGGAGAAAAGGGGCTCCTTGTGCTTAATAAAGAGGCATTTAATGTTCTATCCATAATAATAATTACATAAATAATTTGTAAATAGCCGGTAACTATTCTAACCAAACAACTAACAACCATAGATAACCTAACAATTTACTTAATCGAATCATTATTCATAGAAGATAGTGATCATAGAGAATAGATAACATAGTGGTTGAATAGCAGCTGGTTTAGAAAAAAGAATTCATTGATTTGGAGGATGCAAAAATTATTACAATAAGTTANCTGCAACACCGCCATCTGCCAGGTGTAGTCACTACTATTTTGACAGGAGGAGTTAACACCGCATGCAACTAACAACCATAGATAACCTAACAATTTACTTAATCGAATCATTATTCATAGAAGATAGTGATCATAGAGAATAGATAACATAGTGGTTGAATAGCAGCTGGTTTAGAAAAAAGAATTCATTGATTTGGAGGATGCAAAAATTATTACAATAAGTTATAAATATTCTTTTCAACGGCATAATTGATAATACCTTAGTTTCTTTATTTGTTATTATTTGATTGATTTTGTGTCTTGTTTCTACTTCTATTTCTGATAAATTTCTTACTTTTCGGTGGTTGTGAGGCTTCGGTTCAACTAGGTTCAACGAACGACGAGTTAAAGCAGACAAATACAGATGTGTATATATATATATAAATAAATCTATGAAATAAAGGAAATAAATACTACCATTCATCCATCATTAGATATACACGAATGGAAACAATAAAGTATTTAACGTGATTATTTTGTGAGCGCATTTCTTTTTGTACGTGGGAGAGTTCGCCCAATGAGGCAAATGTCATGGTCGGATGGTTCGAAAAACACAAGGTGGTAAATCTCCAAGTAAAAAGTCAAGACGAAGTGATGATTCAGAAAAACAAAAGCTGATATTTGGTTCTCTCGAAGAAGCAAACGTTCATAAGAAGAATTTGTGTGTTGTGTCGTTTCCTATTATTTTTCTATTTAACATTTTGCACGGGCTGCTATATCATATATTCCTTATCTTGCGATTTATCTACTGCAGTTCATCAAGTTACTTTTGTAAGAAACCAAAACTGATTTATAAAAACGATGCAAGTGTAGAAGAAAACATCACAGAAGAAAATCTAGAAATGGCTCATAGTTCTCGAACTCCTTGTCCTGGACCTGCAGATCCTTTACTTGCAAAGCAAAAACATCATCATAGAAGGGCATTTGAATATATTTCAAGGGCTCTCAAAATTGATGAAGAAAATGAAGGTATTTTTACTTTTTCAAGATTATTAGTTAATTAATAAAATTATTCCAGGTCAGAAAGAACAAGCTATTGAACTTTATAAAAAAGGAATTGGAGAATTGGAACTTGGAATTGCAGTTCAATGTTGGGGTGGTCGTGGAGAAGTTTGGGAAAGGGCTCAAAGGTTACATGAAAAAATGAAAACTAATTTAACTATGGCAAAAGATAGATTACAATTTTTAGGTGAGTTTAGAATATTTTTAATATTTTGGAGCTTTCACACCTGTATTTTTTATTATTGTGTGCTTTTTTGAATGTATTTTGTTTCCCCTTTAATCTTAAAAAATGCAAAAAGGTATTATCTTGGGATCTCTTTATAGAAAATGTGGCCAGTTTACAACAATTGGACTTAGTGAATGAAACCAAAAAATTAGAAATCCCGAAAACTAGTCTTGTAAGCCATATCCCTACTGTTAAACCTAGTTGCACTACCTCAGGTATTTTATTTTGTTTATTTATGTTGTGTTTTGCAGATTTATGTTTNATTCATTTACATTAAAATTACCACTGAAAAGCACAATATAAATTATTATCAAATTTTACAAGAATTCTCTAAAGACTGCGCTTTAATGATAATTATTCAAGCATTTTTTTAAGAAAAAGCTTCAGGGTACAAATCGATCGATAATCAGTAATTTGTTGTCATATAACGGTGTATAAATCAGTCAATATTTTTTGCACAAGATTTTGTACTATGTACTACATTTTTAATTGCTATTTAATCATAAAGAAATGTTATTGTTTGTTATACATTGTGAATTTTAATTGCGATTTTTGACCTTCTTGTGTGTATCATAAGAGTATCTATTGGAACCAGTGCAAATTAAAAAAGAAAATGTTCAAATTAATAGTAGCTGCTAGATAAGTTTATTAAATGGCCCCATGTAGGAATATTCAAGAAAATAATTAAATTTAGCATTGCTTATTGCGATTATTGGTCTAGCGAATAGGATATCAAAATACAAAGGCAAAATGAACATAATTTAATATTTACAATTATATATGACATTTTTTATATGATAAATATCTAACAGCCGCAGGAAAAAAACTCACTGTAGCGGCCAAACGTCCGGGCAATAATTATGCTTTGTCAAAGAGTCAAACATTGCCCAGGTCAATGGGGTCACGCATGCCTCAAGTGCAAGCCGTTAGACCTTTTAATAAAACGTCAACACCCCCGACTATAAAGAGGCAGACGTCACATTCAGGACCAGGAAACAACTCACCGGCAAGGAAAGGAAGTGGTAACACGTTTTCAACTTCATCTTAAGACGATTTTATTAATTTAACTTTCTGAATTCTATATTTCTAAAGGTTCGAATAAGAATCTGGGAATAGGCCGTACTCGATCCCCCACTTTGAGGGGAGTGGACCCTAAATTAGCCCAGTGTATACTTGATGAAATAGTGGATGGAGGTCAGCAGATTCACTGGAATGACATTGTGGGACAAGAAACGGCTAAACAAGCGCTACAAGAAATGGTTATACTACCTTCTTTAAGACCTGAGTTATTTACCGGTTTGAGATCTCCCGCAAGGGGGTTACTTCTCTTTGGGCCCCCTGGGAATGGTAAAACGTTACTTGCCAGAGCTGTAGCAACAGAATGTCAGGTAAGCTCTCTTATACGTCATTTTAAATTTTTGTGCTTATTATTTTTTTTTTTAGGCAACTTTCTTTTCAATAAGTGCCGCAAGTTTAACTTCAAAATATGTAGGAGAGGGCGAGAAACTAGTCAGGGCCCTTTTTGCGATGGCCAGGGAACTTCAGCCATCGATAATTTTCATAGACGAGGTAGATTCTCTTTTATCAGAACGATCGATAAGTGAACACGAAGCCAGCCGAAGGTTGAAGACTGAATTTCTCGTCGAATTTGATGGTCTTCCGTCCAATCCAGAAAGTGAAAAGGTATTTTTGGTGTTTTTATGTTGTTTCAAGTGTTGCTATTGAATTTGTTGTAGATTATTGTAATGGCAGCTACCAACAGGCCTCAAGAGTTGGATGAAGCAGCTTTGAGGAGATTTACTAAGAGAGTATACGTTGCCTTGCCAGATGCTGATACTAGAGTACAGCTATTAACAAAACTATTGCAGAAGCAGGGCTGTAGTCTGGGAGAAGGGGACTTGAAGAAGTTGGCCAAATTGACTGAAGGATATTCTGCCAGTGACCTTACTGCCTTAGCTAAAGATGCTGCCTTGGGTCCGATAAGAGGTAAGTAAGACCAAAAAAAGATTTTACAGAAGTCATGAATACAAGAGTGGGATAAAAGTTATAACGGGACTATAGAATTATGTATTTGTTTTCTTGCAGAGTTGGTGCCTGAACAGGTAAAACAACTAGATCCCAGTTTAGTTAGGGCCATTACAATGAACGATTTTCTGGAGTCTCTCAAACGAATACGACGAAGTGTTTCGCCTCAAAGTATTACCGCTTACGAAAAATGGTCCCATCAATATGGTGACGTATCCCTTTAAAATAAATCATTTGTTACCTCTCACTTTTTAGTTTAGTTTTCGCGCTTGTTATGACCTCTTCTCTTACGTTTTACTTTTACCATAATAATTACCCAAAAACCAAGCGCAAAATCCAAGTCTGATATTGATATACATTCCTATACCAAATTGGATGTAATTCTATATATTTTCTTTAATTATAAATAATGATATTCAAAGACAAAGGTGTCTTGTGATGATGCCATTAATCTAGTCAAAAAAGTAGAAAGAAAAAAGCTGAGGCCGAATTCACTATATATATGCAATAAATACGTAATGTTTATTGTATCGTTACTATCATTTAAGAGAGGTGACGCAAGTGTTTAAATATTAATTAGTTATTAAATTGTATAAATTCGGTTCAGCAAATTCTCCCACGAATTTTTGGATGAATAATTAATTAATGACAAGAAGTTGACGAAAAAAGATTGAAACTTGCCTTACTAATCTAATATTATAAAAGAACTTTNAATTAATGACAAGAAGTTGACGAACAAAGATTGAAACTTGCCTTACTAATCTAATATTATAAAAGAATTATGTTAAGATTGAGAAAAAAAAAGAAACATGAGCGTTTTTGGTTCATGGTTTGTAGGCATTTAATTTAAACTTAGTGTTTCATGAGAAAAACAATTTTTTATTATTTTCTTGTTCATGTTTCTATATTTAATGTTAACTACTAAGAACGTTGTAGCTTTTAAAAAGTTAATCCAGATGAAAACAATTCATTTACATTAAAATTACCACTGAAAAGCACAATATAAATTATTATCAAATTTTACAAGAATTCTCTAAAGACTGCGCTTTAATGATAATTATTCAAGCATTTTTTTAAGAAAAAGCTTCAGGGTACAAATCGATCGATAATCAGTAATTTGTTGTCATATAACGGTGTATAAATCAGTCAATATTTTTTGCACAAGATTTTGTACTATGTACTACATTTTTAATTGCTATTTAATCATAAAGAAATGTTATTGTTTGTTATACATTGTGAATTTTAATTGCGATTTTTGACCTTCTTGTGTGTATCATAAGAGTATCTATTGGAACCAGTGCAAATTAAAAAAGAAAATGTTCAAATTAATAGTAGCTGCTAGATAAGTTTATTAAATGGCCCCATGTAGGAATATTCAAGAAAATAATTAAATTTAGCATTGCTTATTGCGATTATTGGTCTAGCGAATTTTAAAAGTAACATTTAATTTTTATAGAGTAGAATTTTTTAACGATACTAAATAAAACATTAAATTCCTATCATTTCTAGAGCAAAATACAGTTGCAAAACGAAATATTTTTTGCTTTTGCGGGTCACGAATTTGCATTTATTTTAAGGCTACTGTCATAACAAGAAAATTTGTCTCATATTAAATGACGTTTCATATTTTATTATTCAAAAATTCATCCTTTTATCTTATTCAGTTAATACAACTATAAGAAAACCTTTTTAATACTTATTTAAAGGCTTTTTCTATACTCTTTATTTGTCTTTGCAAGTTTTAAATTATAGTAGATGATGGTTTAAAAAATAAAATCGTTTGAACTGTTTTTCATGTATTTATAAATTTCATATGGAAAATCAACTAATTTTTTATAAATTCATAATGAGAAGTTATTAAAAAATAGTTTACAACAAAGGTAACAAAGCATATGAAAGGACAATTTTATTGTCGGGCAGTGGCCTTTAAATTATAAAGCTACTATTGTTTTTTAGACAAAAAAAATAGTAGAGGTCTTAAAAGTTAATCGAATTATCCTCGTTGTTTATTTACGCAGAAAAATGTGTTAATTATATTTTGAATACGCAAGAAAGAGGCTCAACATCACATCTACAATAGAAACGAAAATAGAACAAATTGTATTTTTCCTGTCATATTTTTTTAAAATAATCGAACCCTAGTTTCCTAGAGGGATTTGTGGTAATGGTGATCGTTAAATGTTAGATTAAAATACATAAGTGTGGGAGAATATAGTATGGTATATATACTTTTGAACAGTATTAGAAGGCCCAGTTTAGAATCCCTAAAGCAGTTTCATTTTTTATGTAATAAACCACATTAATTGATGCAAAAAACCGTCGGTTAATTTAACGTTATGTGTTGGTTATTGTAGTTACTACTTTAAATTAGTAATTAATATTNGTAATTGATTTAAGATATAATTTAATATTATGCGTTTCGACCAAAATTCATATTGAATTTTATGGTTTTGCAATATGTAACTGTTGATGTTGTTGTTAAATGTCTTTTTTAACGCTTTTATTACAAACAAATAAATAAATGTATGCTACGTGTTTGCTTTTTTTGAGTAATTCATAGAGAAAATTAGAAATAAGGAACTCAGTAAACGTTTAACTGCTGAACATGTAATATATTTACCTGTTTTGGAATTTACTGTTTTTTGATAAACTTATGGAGAATTAAAGGCAGGGGTTGAGATGTATCGAGTAATAAATTTGATTTATTATAATAGGCATTACTTAATGAAACAATACGTACTGAAAAATAAACTACTTATCATAAATAAAGGTACAACAATCTTTTTTGTTATTCGCTAAAAGTTATTCAAGAACCGTGATTTTTACGAAGAAGAAAAAACATACTGCTNGTTCCCGGGGGTCTTCCGAATCGAAAAGTTCCAATAAATTGAGGACGAACTTGTGATCAATGTATTTTTTCGCAATGCTTGGTTGAAAGTCTGGAACTTCCAAGACTCGCAGGAAAAGTTCGTACACTAGTTGTAAATGGGGCCAGGCTGCTTCTAGCGTTGGCTCATCTTCCTCAGGATCAAATTCTGCACCGTTCGGATTAGAAGATGGAGGTAATGTGCGAAATAAATTTATAGCAAACTGAAACAAAAAAGAAAAACAATTAATTCACGACAAAACCTCCTTTTTTTATCAATTTCTTTATACAACTAAAAGGGTAACGCGGGAAAGGGGCCGAATGATGGTGATTTGTCGAATAATGAATTATTAGCCGTATACGGAAATGCCAGATTGTTGAGATTGGATATGACATATGTAAAACTATTATTGGTGGTATGCCCATTTCTTAAATTAAAACCATCGGCATGTACATAAATTACGACTACGCCTGTACGTAGCCATTTGAAGCCAAGACATTATACTTAGCCTTAGGAAAAAAAATATAACGGTAATGCGGAAAAAGTATCTTTCTGTGGAATATTCACCTTTGGGCATCGTAATTGAAGTATGGTGGTTGAATTTGGGGTTCTAAATTGTGCATCAGTGTTAATAATGAAAACTTAATAGACGTGGTTGCAGATTTTTTATAATTAGGGAACGTACGTCAATCACACATGACGTCATTATCAGGGACGTATTTATAACGCTACGTTACTATTTGTGAAAACCGGAGTGCAAACTTATGTCACTTGCCCACTTGTACATCCAGAAATGTTAAAAAAAGTGAATTATAGCGGTTAGGAGTAAAAACTGTGTCCTTTCGAAAGGCATGGTAGTGAGTATTTTTTAAGTGCTAACTTTTTAGACTTAAATTGGGTGTAGGAAATTCCTGAAAGACTTTTTATTTTAATGGAGTATTACGCTATAATAATAAAACAAATCGGAGTTTTAAGGTACCTACATATGTATAAAAAAATCACAATATGCAAACAAATCACGATTCTCGCGGGTTTTATTTTTTTCTAAACATGAAGGGCTGTGTTTTTTGCGTGTATTTTATGTGTGGCACTAATATTATGTTTTCATACAGATATAAAAATAGGCGTAATAATAGTAATCATTAATTAATAATAACACGACTAGCACTTATTGACATCAGGCGGCGTAACAAGGTACTCTTCAGCTCTTTTATGATCAGTCAAGGCTTTAACAGTGTACTGATCTTGAGGTAAGTCCGATTTGCGACGCACGAACTGTTTATTTACATTATTTATCTTATGCACCTGCAACAATAATTTTTTTAACTCCTAACATTTATTAAAAGAAACTTTGCAACAAACTACTTTCGAATTCTTTATTTGTCCTATTACTGTTATGAGTTATAAAAAATTAATCATTGTCTATGACCCTGTGAGACTGAAGCATTGTTTTATAACCGCCCTTAACACTTACCTTTAATTATCATTACTGCCGAAGCAACTGGACGAAAATTAAGACTTAATAAATCATAATTTTCAGGCAGGTGCGTTGTTTTAATTGTAATCTAATATATATTTTTTATTTAAAAAAATGGCAAATTCTTGTTTCTGAGGGTGTTATTTTTGCATAATGGTTTTTTTGTTAGTCTTTTTATAAGGATTAAGTAAGTAACGTCGACGTCTTTCATGTTAAGACTATCGGGCTACTGTATTGAAAGTGTTTATGCCTCTATCTAATAAAGTTATATTCAATCCAGGATTTCAGATTTGTAGATAACACAAACAAAATATCTCCCGCTAATACGAATGGGGAAGTATCAACATATAAGGGATTTACAACAACGGCGAAATATCGATTTCTTAAGGCTAATGGACATCGCTTCTGTATGCGAACGTTTGCTACGGTGGCCTAGCATAATTTATATGCTGGTCACATTATGGGGGGGAGGGGAGTATTCCGTTTTGTGATGCTTACATTGTCAAGCGTTTACTGAATTTTTTAATGCCTACTTAATCATAAAATACCAATAAGATAGATATGCACTACAGGGGCGATTTATTATATAATTTATTATAAGTACTTACCTCATGTACCTCCCTGTCCAATCTATCTATTATAACAACATCATCTTGTTCGGGACTACTGCTCAAATTATTGGGCAAAGGGTCGACAGTGGACTTGACGACTTCATATCCGGGATTTTTTGCAGCTATGGACTCCACCTTTTGCCATAGATTCTCCCTTTGATGTTGAATTTCTTTTTCTCTAAAAATAAGCCAATCGACGACTAAACAACAAGGGTAGAAGAATGGCAAAATAAAAGGAACATAAAATACCCAAGAAAGTTTTAAAATCTTTATAGATATTAGTTTACGTTACTTACTTTTGCTTTTCGTGTTTATACTGTTGAGCACATTCATCAAACAGTCTTTGATTGATTTCCATAAAGAGTTTGAGAGCGTTATAGATAAGACCGTGAATCGTTTTGTTCCAATGCGTTTTAGAGCTACGATACAAACTGGAGAACATTATGGGCATTATTTCTGTAGCATTCTCTGCAACCAGGGACATAACGTACTCGTTATTCCAATAATAAAGTGCTCTTTCGGCCACCTGGAAATGTGGTGAACTGACACACTTCGACAACTGTTTAAAGAGCGGTATCATGACCTTTTGGAACTCCGCAGGTTCTATAACGTCCAATATTTCTTCGAGTTCGTTTAGGAACATGACTTCTTTAGGACTGTGAGTTTTTGGCCAATATTTTAATAAACTACGTATAACAGGTTGTGTGAGCGAAGGATCCTTTTCCAAAAATTGAACCACACAATAAGCTAGCTGGGGATGGTAGACTGAAAGGGACTTGACTTTGTGCAATGGCATTAATACTCTCAACAAAAATACTTTGTGTTCTTCTTTCAATGGCAACGCGAAACCGTTTATGATAGACCCTAGAATTTCTAGTAGTTCCGCGATCCCATTATGGTGCTCTGTTTCGTAAATAAACCTATAAAATACGTTGTTTATTTGTTTACGTATGAACGCACGTAAACCTAGGAATTTCCCGTATATTCTATGCAGCGTCATTTTCAGAAGATCCCGTTCCCGGGGGTCTTCCGAATCGAAAAGTTCCAATAAATTGAGGACGAACTTGTGATCAATGTATTTTTTCGCAATGCTTGGTTGAAAGTCTGGAACTTCCAAGACTCGCAGGAAAAGTTCGTACACTAGTTGTAAATGGGGCCAGGCTGCTTCTAGCGTTGGCTCATCTTCCTCAGGATCAAATTCTGCACCGTTCGGATTAGAAGATGGAGGTAATGTGCGAAATAAATTTATAGCAAACTGAAACAAAAAAGAAAAACAATTAATTCACGACAAAACCTCCTTTTTTTATCAATTTCTTTATACAACTAAAAGGGTAACGCGGGAAAGGGGCCGAATGATGGTGATTTGTCGAATAATGAATTATTAGCCGTATACGGAAATGCCAGATTGTTGAGATTGGATATGACATATGTAAAACTATTATTGGTGGTATGCCCATTTCTTAAATTAAAACCATCGGCATGTACATAAATTACGACTACGCCTGTACGTAGCCATTTGAAGCCAAGACATTATACTTAGCCTTAGGAAAAAAAATATAACGGTAATGCGGAAAAAGTATCTTTCTGTGGAATATTCACCTTTGGGCATCGTAATTGAAGTATGGTGGTTGAATTTGGGGTTCTAAATTGTGCATCAGTGTTAATAATGAAAACTTAATAGACGTGGTTGCAGATTTTTTATAATTAGGGAACGTACGTCAATCACACATGACGTCATTATCAGGGACGTATTTATAACGCTACGTTACTATTTGTGAAAACCGGAGTGCAAACTTATGTCACTTGCCCACTTGTACATCCAGAAATGTTAAAAAAAGTGAATTATAGCGGTTAGGAGTAAAAACTGTGTCCTTTCGAAAGGCATGGTAGTGAGTATTTTTTAAGTGCTAACTTTTTAGACTTAAATTGGGTGTAGGAAATTCCTGAAAGACTTTTTATTTTAATGGAGTATTACGCTATAATAATAAAACAAATCGGAGTTTTAAGGTACCTACTATAAAAAGGCAGTATAAGACAAGAACGGGATCGAATCCAGCTTCGGTTAAATATTTTTTTATTAGAGCTACAATGTAGAAGTAATATTTACCATATTAACAGCTTCTGCGTAAATAGTCTCTGTAAGGACACCTTTATTTTGATTAACATATTCTACCATTTCGGTAAGGGCAGTTCTCTTCACTTCTTTCCATTTCAAGTCTGAGAGTGGATCATCCGCAAAATCAAAAAGGACACAACACTGCCTCAACTTTTGGGTGAACAACTGTTCCCTATCCGCTGGAGCCGCCTCTGCAAAAAAAAATAATTACCTACTTAGAAATTAAATAAAGTAACGGTTTCAGTATTATCACATTACAGATTAAGAAATGTACCCATAATAGTACACAGATTATTGCAATAAGCAGAGATACATACTTAAATTAAAATCTGAATTTTTTATTAGTAATTTATTTATTAAAAAACAATAGCTAACGCTTCGCCCAAGTTGTTGGTCTTTCTCAAGGTTAGCTTTTATAAATTAAAGAAGACGTAAAGCAGATGGACTCACTAATTTATAACGGTACGTGTTTAATGACCAATAAAAGTGCTTAATTAAATCGTTTTATAAATAAAACAGTGAATATACTAACATTTATAATTATTATAAAAACGTAGAAGAATTAAAATAATAAATAAATAATTAAAACAACACTTCGTGATACTCAGGCAACAAAAAGAAAGTGCCACCACGTGGGTTATTTCGGATTGTTTAAAAGATTTTGAAGGTTCGCCTAATTTAGGATGAAATTCAGAGTCGGTATAGAGATAGATGCATGTAATTGAAAAAATATATTTTCGCCGTGCAACGTAAAAGCAAAAACTTCCGACCGAAATATGTAATTCCCATGTTCGGTGAATATTTTGCCTTACCTGTATATCACTTGAAAAGAAAAACAAAATAGGATTTACAAAAAAGCTTCTATTTAATTTACAATTACTGTGGAGGAATCATACCTATTAATATTAATTGAAGAAGAACGTTTTAATAAATAAAACACTTCTAATACATCGTTTAAATTAATTGAAACAATAATATTTAACTGCATATCCAAGTCCTTTTTACGGTCTCGGTCAAGGTTACAGTAATGCACCTCTAAAATCGATTTTTCTTTCTAATACACGTGTAGAATATTTAATCCTATTGATGAAATAAAAATGGTTCTATCTGTTACATTATTAATTAATATTTTAACGATTTTGATAATAAAAACTATAATTAATATAAGTAAAAAAAGAAAAAGAAGTTGTTTTGGGAAAAAAGAGTGGAAGAGGGGAAGAATGCATTACGGGGGAAACTTTGCCAAAGTAAATATCAAATTCTCAAGTCATCACTTGTGTACAGTGAATCATAAGAGGGTGAAAGAAATTATTTATAAGACGAGGGTCGTTAGATACGAAAAGCTTCTGAGAAGCGGCAAGGAATATTTACAACTGAAACATGTTTCCTTACTTTTCTACTATTTTAATTAGACGTTACTGTACGAATATAATCTTTCGCTAATTATTTTAAAATCTATTTAAATTTGCCCACAAACCACTTACAAGAGATAAGATAAGCCATGAGTTCCTTAACAAACGCTCTAATCACGAAATTAAAAAGATGTTTTACATCATATACAATTTGCTTTAACAGCAATTGTAACTACTTTGAACATTACAGTTCTGAAATTAACTTTTGTATTGGTGAAGCAAACAATACATAAGCATACTGGCAATCAAAATTCAATTACACTAAAACTATAGTACTTTAACATAATGATTCAGTTCTGATCGTTTTTAAAACCTGTTGCAAATCAATAATCTAATTAAATTCATTGTTTAATTACCTACGTCTTAACAAAAGTTGTTTTTATTAAAAGTAAATACCTAGGAACAACTGAAAATAAAAACACAAAAGTGTTTCATATGAGAGGGTTTTCTTTATTGTTTCCGCGTCAAAAGGGTTGTTCAGAATTTACAATTAGCATTTTATTTCTCTTAAGGACTTAAGTTCACGTTAAAGTATATTTGCAGTTCTTTCTACTTTTTGGTGCGCATTTTTGCAAAGAGAGTAAGGAGGGCTCAATTCTAAAAGGGTCCTTTAAAATAACGGTAAATTGCGAGAGATCTCCTTTATGAAAAACCTTTCAACACGTAAAAGAATACCCAGAAACGAATCGATTCCTGTGAGGAAGAAATCAACTAATGATTAAAATGAACTACTTTAATAATCAGTTAATTAATGATAACAAAATCATTTAGCAGACGTGCCAGAAATTGTTGAAACAAACTCATTCGCGATAATGGTTCCAAAGATAACTAATGAATCTCTGGTAGACTTTAGGATGTTTTGTGTAAGAAATTTCGATCGAAATATGCAATGTACTTATAAGAAAGACGCTCATCGTCACCTGTTAGAAGTGAAAGATGTTCAAAAGACTGCATGACCCCAACAGCTTCTAAGTTTTTCAGCAATGGCAACTGTAACTGCGAAATTATTCTTTTCGCGGATTTCTCATGTTCAGTATCAACGACGCCGTCCTCAGGGTCATCCTTTTTTAACCTGGTGGTGTTATAGGTCGACTTCCTGGTGAAAATGCATCTACTGGATTCGTCCAGTTCGAATAATTCCGTAGTCGCAACAGGAGTGGACAGTGACTCCTCACATCCGTTCTGCAAGGCGTTTACTAGGGAATCCACGCTGGCAGATGCGGCCAAATCTAAACCGCTGTGGAAGGACGGAGATTTGGGAATACCCAGCGGCGATGTGTCCCTACATCCCATGACATGACTCTGAGCGAAAGCCGAATGCACCATAGTACACGTAAACGACAAATTAAACCGAAATATTGTACTTTTAATCACATATTAAGGATAAGGATATCACCAGCACTACTTTATTATGTTGTTTATAATAACAACACCATGTGTCAACTTTTTGTCACTATTATACGATTGGTTGAAATTACGAACTTATTATAATCACGGCAGGGCTGTCTGCCTGTTGAATTAGAGAAAGAGGGAAGTGCCTGATAAAGAAGTCGGTCCGGGAAGAGGAAAAAACAAGAACAAGAGGAGGAGACTAAAGGATACAAGTGAATCTAAACAATCGCTGACGGAATTGAGGAATATGGATCAATTTTACCCTGTGGAAAAGTGTATGTGTAACGTATATCGAGCATGCGCAACATGGGACCGAAGCACCCTGTGAACTTCACAAACGGTACAAACTTTAGGCTACAGGGTGATTTGCCATCGGTTGAAATTTATCATAAAAACACAACTAGTGACGCGAAACACGAGCGATCGATCCTATGGATCATGATCCTATCGCTAAAGATCAGATAGTTTTACCAAATACATACAGTCCAATTAGAGGAAATGTAAAACTTACATGCAGGTTTGAGTAAGGGGAGGAGATATGAGGAGAGGGATGATGGATTTATCAAAAACGCTAATATACAAGAAGATCTTAAGAATCAAAACCCCCTACATCAGAATTAGAGTTCACTATATATGAGAAGAAAAATGAAGCTTATTGATTTGAATTGTTGCTATTTAAAGTAATGGATTTATTAGAGTAAGGATCATTATTTTTAAGAGATTTGATAATTTAATTAATAATTAATTCATCATCATCATACGGTCGTCAGTCTTAAGACTGGTTGGACACGCACCTCCACTCTTTCTTATCCTGAGCTAATCTTCGCATTTCCCAAAAAATAGAACAACCCACATTCTTAACTATTTGTGAACAGTATTTATATAAAGGTTGTTAAAGGTGTATGTTTGGAGCACGGCATTATACGGGTGCGAAACATGGACAGTGGGCGCGGCGGAAAAGAAAAGGTTAGAAGCGTTCGAAATGTGGTGTTATAGGCGGATGATGAGGATATCGTGGGTAGAAAAGGTTAGAAATGAAGAGGTATCGGAAAGAATAGGAAAACAGAGGACTCTATGGAAGTCAATAAAAAATAGGCGAGATAGGTTGGTAGGACACCTTCTCAGGCATGAAGGTCTAATCAGAGACATATTAGAGGCAGAAACAGGAGTTAGGAGGGGTAGAGTTAGACCTAGATTAGATTACTGTTCGCAAATAGTTAAGGATGTGGGCTGTTCTAGTTTTAGGGAAATGCGAAGATTAGCTCAGGATAGGGAAGAGTGGAGGTACATGTCCAACCAGTCTTAGGGCTGACGACCTTATGATGATGATGAATCTAATCTAGGCCTACCTCTACCCCTCCTAACTCCTGTTTCTGTCTCTAATATGTCTGACTAGACCTTCATACTTGAGAAGCCAACCAATCTCGCCTATTTTTTATTGACTTCAATAGAGTCCTCTGTTCTCCTATTCTTTTTAATATCTCTTTATGTCTAACTTTCTCTATCCACGGTATCCTCATCATTCGTTTGTAACAGCACATTTCGAACGCTTCTAACCTTTTCTTTTCCGCAACGCGGTTTCGCACCCGTACAGCGCCGCGTTCCAAACATACACCTTTAACAATCTGATTCGAATTTTTGAATTAACCGTTCACGAGCATAGAAGTGACTTCTTTTTATTGAAAGCGACTCGACTTTGCGCTATCCTCTTGTTTATATCGCTACTACTCCTTCCGTCCTGACTTATCTGACTTCTTAGATACCTAAAATCAGCCACTTCTAACTTTTGTCTCCTATCTATATATTCGCTCTTTCCCGACTTGTTTTACTTTTATTTATTTTCATATAGTATTACGAATGTTTTATTTTCGTGATATGACAAATACATACTTTTCAAATAGATATAACATATATTTTTGGTAACTGACGAAGATTACCTCAAAACATTAAAAAAGAACAGAAGTCAAGAAAATTACGTATTCTTTTGTGCTTCAATCCTACCCGACTTCGAACATCTTTAACATTTTTCCAGGGGTGCGGAAGTTGACCCAACGCAAATGGAACATATTTAGCCTCATTCTGAAGCACATAAATCCAGTGTGGCGAAAACTTTTTTAGTTGCTTTTTAATTGAGGGAGGGGCATAACTCGCTATCGTTATTTTTAAATTAGTATTTTATTTTGCAGTACAAAAATCTTGTTAATGTGAGTTTTTTTGTTTGTTTGTTTAGTTAGATAATAAACAATTGATCTTCATGAAAAAGGGAAAACAACTGACCAAAACAACGCAACCTTCCTTGGGATCTTTGGAATTTCCTACCTATCACACTCTTCATTCTTTTCAGATAAATTAAAAAGTTTCAAGGTACCAAGAAAATTCTTTTTCATGACGCCTTCGTGTTTTTTCCTGTCCTCATCTCTACACGGAGAAAATGAAAAAGGAAAATTTACCTAAATATAAAGCGATATATACAATTTATCCCACTAGCCCGTTGCTTCGTAAGCGAAAATACAATTACAATTTGGACTCGAATTTGTAAAAATAAAATCCCAGCAGAAATACATTTACTAGGTATTGTAGTTGATATTACAAATTAAATTGTAATAATTACAAAAATTGAATAATTTGTAAAAAAACAAGTCAAAATTGAGATTATTACAATTTAACTAATAAATTTTACGATTTCTACAGCAATTTACATTACAATTTTTGCTTTGTCATAAAAATTTTCTCCGTGTACGAATGATTCTGCTATTATTTGATAGATATCTAACACCTTTATTAGATTTTTAGGGTTCCGTACCTGAAAAGGTAAAAAGGACCCTTATAGGATCACTTCGTTGTCCACGTGTCTGTCTGCCAAGATCCCTTTTCTCAGGAACGTGTGGGGAAGAAACATAGAAAACAGGAAAAATCGCTTGACCGGTTTTTTTTTTCATTTTTAATAGCTTACTTTTTAATAATTTAAAATATACGCTTTAAAGTAAATATAAACACAACAGAAGGTTCTTCTAGCCTAGATGAAACTATAAATTTTTGTTTTTTTATAGAAGTTATTTATTGTAATTTTGCCAAACTGTAGGAGCTGCTTTATAGTTTGAAATGGCATCAAGTCGACGTAATTTGAAAGGCAATATAATAAAATTAATATCAGAAATAAAAAACATATTTACTAAAACAGAGAACGAAACGTGTACGTATTTTTACGGAATTTAATCTCGGAATTATTTTTTAAAGTTTCTTTCAAAAACAACAACCACATTATCTAAAAACTAACTTCTATCGATTTCGTCTTCTAATACTGATCCATTCTAGTGATTAATCATCAATTTTTATAATATATACCAATACGGAGAAAATTATTGTTCAACGAGAACAGTTTCATGCAAATTATTGGCATGCACGAAACATAGAAATTGCAGCTTTCTAATGAATTATTTATCTAGTTATATATGATTTTTAATTGTTTTGCACTTTTTAAATGCCAATAACTTTTCTATTTCATCATGAAACATCAGAAAACTATAGAAAATTCAATAATTTATTGTCAGCTTTTTATAGAGTTTACCCTGTAGTTACGAAGTTAAGAACTAATCCAAACGATCTTACGTTAACTGAAATACTCTAACAAAAAATTCCATAATTGCTAATTTCGGACAGCTCTAAATAATTGACGACAGACAAACTTAAAAAAAGGATAATAGATATATATTTCGTAAACAAATGCATAAAAATAATTGGAATAACGCGTTGTAACGAGTTTCAATAAAACTATTAATTTTTATGATTTTCAGGGTCGACATGATCATATACGTATTTGCGTTAAAAGCGCATAAATAGCAACTATTTATAATACATATTATATTATACGTACGTGGCAATTACATACCAACACAGTAACATACAGGGTGTACTTATATCTTAAAATGATTATCGTACACTCTAAAATAAAAAGTGCTAACACAGATAATGAATTATCCTAATTAAACTAATACGTATTTAGTGATACCTAGTTCTTTAATCAGTTTATTGACTTAACAAAAGACCTTTATAGAAAAAATCACGTTGAAACCCAGATTCCTCGCGGTCACGTGTAAATGTATTTTATAATGTCTTATCAATATTTATACTTATTAAACGACCGAAAAGATTAAATCGTCGCCAAGGCGAAATCAATATATTTTGTATATTGTGGACAACCCTGGTATAATATCTGGTATTAAGTATTATTATTTTACGATTAGCGGATTTTTGTTGCTAAATAGGTCATTCATGCAAAAAAAAAATAAGTCAAAGGAAGCATAAAATATGTACCCATATACTTATCCACTTAATTCAAAAAAGTATAAATTAATATTTATGTTTAAAATTTTTAAATGTCTATTAGGTATTTATTTAATCACTGCAACGGACAACTTATAAATGGTTTTAAAAATATGTAAAAAAATTTGTTATTTCTTTGTTTGATAGGTGTGCGTCTATAAAAAAAAGCTAAAGAGTCGAGTTTGGTTAGATTGGTTTAACTAATTCTTATTTTCAATTTTTCCTAACTCGAACATATCTTTTTTGTCTCGAAAATTACAAAAACATGCTAAATACTATGTTGTTTCCATGTATATTAAAGTGGGAGAGTAACATAAACCGTACGTGTTTTATGAGATGCAAGAGCAGGTAACATAGAATTTTGAGGTATGATATTCTCAATTTTCGGAAATTTATAAAGTAGAACCATATTCATATTTTCAAGCAAGCGATATAGTAAACGGTACAACATATTCAACGCAATCGGAGGTGGGAATTCTAATTCTAGCCATTTATTATTTTCTTTTCTTATTGAACAAATTATAAACAAAAAACAGTTGCTTTACTTCGACTCGAGAAGACTGGGCATATCTTGCTTCAACTATTTAAACAGTTGATAATCAATATAAAACCAGTGTTTTGTTATACATGTTTCGTTGTTTTAAATTTAATTTATTTAGGTACTGCTTCGCCTACCATAATATTGTAATAACTTGGTATATCACTTAACGAAACCGCTTGTACACAGGTTTTTTAATTAGCTTTTACGAGATACCATTGTAAACTTATAAACTTTAAAAAGTATAATCTATTACCCATATAGGTAAAAGGTACGCAAATAAAATCATATTTATTTTTGAAATAAGTAAATATAAATTGTTATGTCATCCAAAAAAACGCGTTCTAAAATTAAAAACAAAAAAGAACAAAACATGTACACATGTTAGTACCTACCCACTTACTTACCTCAACTAAATCTAAGTACATTTTATCAACAAATTTATAAAAAAAAAAATATTACTTAATAAAAGAGTACCTACCAAAAGTAGAAAAAAAATGAAAACTTACCTTTAATGAGGGGAAGCATTTCCAATTCTTGATTTTTGGTGACATTAAATCTGGAGCTGGAGTGCCGTTTATCTTTTTTGATCATGGGCCCTTGAATACTGCCAGTGGTCAGCTTGGATTTGTTGATAAGGGGCGTGGGAGGGGGCCCCACAGTAAGATTATTTTTGACCTGTAAAACAAAACCATTTGCAAACAACTGAAACATCAAGTACATTAAATTAAAATAAGGCGTACATTACCCTTTCATCTTTTTTTAATCGACGAAATATACCCCCCAAAGCCATAATTTTATTTTAAATTATTTTACGATGTTTACAGTTGCTTTAAGAAAAAATTTCCAAAATATCTCACACTACTTAGTATAAACTATTAATTTGTATTATGTACTAGTATTATCACAGTGTCTATATTGTTTGTACATATGAAACATTATATTAAGTGATGTGTATGATACACAAACAAGTATATTTGTAACTTAATATTTTTCAAATGTATTTATTTCGCGTGTAGAGTTGTTACATGTTCAATAAGTTTCAAAAATTCAACTAGAGAGTAAATATAAACGAAATAAAACATTAGTAAGTGATGTCGTTAGCAGGTCATATTTGTGTTTACAAAAATGATGGACACTTGCCAAAAGAATCGAACTACCTGATCGGCATTTATTAACGTAAGAATTAAATGAGTTTTTTTTATCGGGTACTTTATTAGTGCATCAAATTAATTACAGATGCATAGTATTTAATATTTGTAAGTTTGTATTGGGTATTGTTTGTTCAGCAATGCGAACGCCAATAGTCATTTTATAAATAAAACATTTTTTGTAATGGTTTGAGAACATTTGAATGATTTAAAACAACCGTTAGCTGTCGTACATTCCGCAGGTTTTCTACTAATAAGTAGCAGCAGTTGTTTTACTAACTAGTAATAACTGGTCACATATAAATAGAGATAAATAAATGATGAGAAATAAAAACGTACATAATAGAAAATAACGACGTTAATTCCACGTATTTAGAACCCTCTTCGTACGTACACGTTACATAAAAAATAAAGTTACTATTTATAGATCTTCATGTAAACTCACGGTGAAAAAATAAACATATTAGCCAGAGGAGCATATACACAGATATAAAAGTTAAAAGATTAAATTAAAGGGCGGATTTTAAACTTACCTCGTTACCACTCTCTCCATTCCGACTTTTATCTGTTTTACTTTTATTAGTATCCTGCAAAAAAAGAAGAGCATCTAGATGGAACTTGTTTGAGAACACACTAACCTATAATAGCACACACAAAAAGCGAACACGTTGCTGCCCTATACTAACCATAAATACTGATGCTACACGTTAAATTGCGAGGAATGTTAAAAAATACAAGTACACGCTACCAAACTGCACTATTGGCAATATTTAAAAATATAAGGAACACAAGCCGTCCAAGTTGTTGGCATCGTGAAAACTCACCAACCACCGAGAATTAAAATTAAAACTAAAATTATAAATGGTTAATTTATTAACAAATAGAACTTATCATTAATTAAAGTCCTTGAACTTAGTATGTTTTATAAATTACACTGTGCATAAGAAACAAACCAGATATATCGGCTAACGTAAACTGACAGTTAATTGGATGATGAAGGTCACGTGGTTTCCCTTAGATGTGTTCCACAATTTGATCCTGAAACATAATTTGTAAACTGATCTCTTACTAATCTCGCACTAAAAATAGGCGGTTCCAAAAATTTGTCTCATATCTCCTACCCTTCTTTTTCTTTGTCAAAAACAAACCTTTTTGATAAAAGGAATTTAAAAGTTTGAAAAATTTGAAGTGGTTGCTACGGATACTGTAGTTGTTTGGTTAATAAATTGACCTTTTTGGCGAACTACTAATTAAAATGTCTAAAGCTACAACGATTAAAGATGCTCTTAAACGATGGGAAGAACGATTTCCTGATAAAGATATTACCGAAGCCACAGAAGTGGGATTACAATTCCAGTGGCCACCAATAGAAAAGATGGACAATTCGTTAGGAGTTCTAAATAATTGTCAGTAAGTTTGTAATTAGCTTATTTAATTAGAAGCAGGAAAAACTGTTTTTTTTTTAGAAAACTGAGCTTATCTACAAATATGATCGAGAAAATAGCTGGTGTTAGCACACTAAAAAATCTAAAAATACTGGCCCTGGGTAGGAACTATATTAAAAACTTTGTCGGATTGGTTTGTATTTAACTGAAAACTGGGATACTGTCTCCATATTAAACCTTATTTTAGGAAGGCATCGGAGATACTTTGGAAGAATTGTGGGTGTCTTATAATTTAATTGAAAAGCTTAAAGGAATAGACGTTTTAAAAAATTTAAAAGTTCTTTATATTAGCAATAACTTAATAAAAGAATGGGCTGAATTTAACAAGCTTCAGCAGTTGCCCAAATTAGAAGATTTGCTATTTTGTGGTGAATAATAATTAGTGATTGTTTACAGGGTCAGATCGTCGGTTGGAGGGGGGCGGTAAAGAACGGAGATTACCTCCAATGCACTCTTACCCAATCCAAAAAACTAAAAAATTTTGGAGTGCTTTTTGGCTGTTTTGTAATAAATCGAATATTAATAAAACTGTTATTGAATTGAGGCTCCACACAAAAATAACTCCAAGATTGGGTTAGACTACATTGGTTTCTTCTTAAATAATGGGGCTTTTATTTCCACTTTGCGTGCCTCCACCTCTCCGTTCTCACCTGGACTTTGCTGTGTTCCAGAAAGTCCCCCTCCTTCCCCTTCGACATTATGTAACCAATTACTAATTAAATTTGCAATTGACAAGACTCTTGAACTAAAGTACTTTTAGGTAATCCATTGTATGAAAATATGGACGAAACAGCTTGGAAAAATTCGGCAATTAATAAATTACCTCATCTGAAGAAGCTAGAAGGAGAGCCAGTATTACGCGATGAAGAATAAAAGTAAAGATTTTTTTGGAATTTTATAAGCAATTTTTTATCTTATATTACACAATATAATTTTTTTGCTAATTAGCTCTCATAATTCTCTGTTTTAAGGTCGTTTAGTCCTAATTCTTCGTTTTGCTCAAAAGACCTTTGATAGTGTGTTATTTTTAAATTTGAATCTGGTTTTCCATTGTCTGCTAAACTCTAAAAAAAGTTATTTAATAAAAAAAAATATTAAAAGTAAAATTATATGCAATAATTACTTGAATGTAACTATTTCCAGCAGGATCATCCAAAATTATTGTGATAGGCCTTCTGCATTCTAGAATATCATCAAATTGCTCAATAAATCTTTCTAGTCTTCTTTTTGTCTCTTCTTCTGTTGAATCTCCAAACATATGTTCCCCTAGCTGATCCTTAATAGCTACTAAAATACCCTCTACAGTGGTAAATCGTCCCCCTAAAGCCACTGGACCCACTTCCAAATCCAATTGCGGAATAAATAAGTGACAAGTCTCTGACTAAAATATTTTCAAAATTAAACTTTTATAGTTTATCTAAATACAGTTAAGCCTATATCAACAAATAGTATTTTTTATTGAGATTCATTCAATAGTTATCAAATAAAGAATAATATAGTCGATATTTGATTGTGTGAACTAAAAAAGCAATAGTTGTTCACATTATAAATTTATTCGCGATAATAAATGTTGGATTTGATATGCAATTCCAAATATGAAACCTACAGCTTGATAGGTAGTTCTCCCTTATCATCGACTTATCACACATATGTTATAAAAGATGTCAATATTGTTTTAATTAAGGTAATTAATTATATTAACATACTTTCAACAAATCTCGTGAAAAATCGTCTTTACTGTATACATTAACTTCTATCTTGACACCTTTAGGTTCAATACCACCCCCTGATTTTACTTCATTAGTTCGGTTACCACATGTATCACATGTAGTTGCCATAATAACAACTTGCTTGAAGTGAGGAATATCTAAAACGCATTTAAATACTTATTATATTAGAATAAGATACAAACATAATTTTATTGGTTTGTACCTGTCACTTTCATGTTTGTCTGACAAGGTGCTCCACAAATATTACAATTTGTTGGAAACTGTAAAACTTCTCCTAAAAGGTCTTCATATTTGTATTCTCCTTCAGTTATTGGATGAAGTAGATTTGGCTCTTCTTGTTGTTTTGCACCATCCTCAATCTGTGAGTTTAACAATTCCATAAAGCATACAAGGTTGGAATGTCTTGCATAATTTTTTACTAATATTTTTAGAATAAACAGGCATTAATAAGTTACTACAATTCTGAAAGTTGTGGATATTTCCCTTACTTTTGAAAATAGAAAAACAATTTTTTAGGCTAATTAAATTAGAGCTGAAATAACTAAGAATTTTGGTATTTTGAGTATTTTTGTCATCCTGTGGTTTTTCTATTGGATTAAAATTTTTTACCTCATCATTTGTAAAAATTCCCAATTCATGATCCTGTTCCTTGTTCCTTTTAAAGTAAGTCGTTGTACACTGAAGATCTGGATGTGGCACATTTGGATTCTGTATGAAACTATTTCCACTTATGTCTTCTATGATCTGCATTGGCATTAAAAGTTAAGGTTTTAGTTTTAAATAAGCTATACACCAATAAAATATTACCAATGTGAATGGTTTTTCTAATTCTTTTAAATGTTCCAGTTTCAAAATTACTTCATCTATTTGACTAGCAACTTCAGGATGCTGAACTCGCCTGAGAGGCTGATCTTGTTGTAAACCAGTTACACACCTATTTATGATACCTTCCACTGTTGTTACTTCTGTTAAAATTAAAACCAAATAAGAGACATATTAAAATTCTACGTTTAAAAATTAACCTCCTTTTTGACTTTTCCCAGGTATTTCAAAGTCGAGTTCAACAATTTTTATGCTTGCATAATCACTTTTTACCACTTGTCTACATAAATCACGCTCAGTTTGTACCTTAAGGGTAATTTTAACCCCTTTCTCATCTACCTTAGAACCCGACTGAATTTCATTATTTTGAAAGCCACAATGTTCACAACAAAATGACATGACAATAACGTCTTTAAAAAATGGTATTTTTGTTAATAATAACCGTGTCACACCCTACAAAACAGGAGAATAAAGGTAAATAAGTTTTTGGTATCACAAGAACTTGCGTACATTTTTTTGGCAATTCATACAAAGGGATTCAATTTCTGTAGTTTCAGGTTCTGGATCTTCAGCGGTAAGTTCTCGAAATAACGGCTTTTTAGTTTCCATTATTTAATTTGCAGAAAAATATAAAAAGGATACCAAATAATATTAAATGCAATGCTACTACTACATATCTGAGGTTATGCTCGTTATCCTTTGTGTATCTATTATCTATGGCTCGTTATGCTCATAGATAAAGTTTTTAAGGTTATGATTGAATATACAGTAAAATTGTATTCTATGAAGGTTGTATTATCTGTTCTGGATACAATGGTGTCTACGTCCACGGCGATTCATAAGACGAGTGGTTATAATATTGTCGGGTAATAAAACATATTTCGAGTTTTAACTAATTTATTTTTCTTATCTTCAAATACTACTATGAATAATCAGTCATCCACTCACTATTGTACCACCACCTGAACTGCTATTTTACTTTCCTTATTTCATCTTCTGTCACCTTTTAACTACCCCCTTTCGACCTCAGGGCAGGTATTTATAGGGGCTGGATGTTCCAGAATGCATTTTTTAGAGAATTATGGCCATCTTTGTCATATCGTTTTCTCGGAAACCTATTATAGGCTACCCTTGATGCATCTTCAATATAGTGGGATGCCTATCCATAACATTATATTAACGCACTAGTTTTTAAAAGTGTTTTAATTAAATTAAAAGAACTGATATATATTCCTATCTAAAAGTACAGGAAACAACCGATGGAATGTTTA